AGTTAGATCCCCTCCACCCCGCAAGAACCTGTATTTGGCTGAGTAGATATGTCAGCATGCTTGTAAAGTACATTTTTTCTTTGTGAGAGGCCTTGCAGAGTGAGTTCTTAGCTTTCTTCCACTGGCTTCAAAGTGTCTCCTCTTGGGAACATGCGTGATTCCCCTTAGACGACGGTGTGATGGGGTGTGATGTTGTGGAAAGATTTAGTTCCTAAAGGCAGATAGCTCTTAGGCTGAGTCCTGGCTCTGCTGCTTGAATAGTAGTGAGACCTTGGAAAAGATACTTAGCTCCAAATCTTGACTTCCTTATCTATACTCCGGGAAGATTCGGGATCACATGAGAAAAAGTGTATGAAGGGGTCTTGCGTGTGAGATGGTCTGGATGCCTCCTGGCAGAGGCAGCTTGAGCTTCAGGAAGTTGGGGAGATTTGGCTCCCAGGCCTTGCCTGAGAAGGGTAAAGGCTTTAACTTCAGGTAAACCCCACAATTATCACTTTGGTACACGTTTGTGTACCAAAAATAATAAACAATAAAAAGTTTTTAAAATAAAAGTAATTATTTATTTAAAAAATAATATATTTAATTATTTTAAAAATGATTATTTAAAATTTTTTAAAAATGATTATTTTAAAATAAAAAATAATTTTTCTCTTGCTGTTGTCCATGTTATTTTCCTCAGTGGCATCATGGGGAGAGTGGTTACCATCTAGGGGAATAGCAGGCCCGGTGTGGGGAAGTGTGGCTCAGAGCGCCCTGGTCTTTTCCCCAGCTGGCATTTACCAGCAATCTGAGACACTGGGCATGGTATTTAACTTCAGTTGACTCATCTAGAAAGTAATAGGAACAGTTACACATCATGGGGTGATAGAGGATTGATGGGAAGGTGCTTGTGGAGCACTTACTGTACAGGGTCTGGTGTGTGGTAGGTGCTGAGTTAGCATAATTTCCGAAATCCTTGTTTGAGGGTATTTCTACATTATTAATGAGGCAATAGTTGATTATAGGAACCTCGCCTAAGAGCTGATAATTTTCCTGACCCCCCTAAAGTTTTTCCAATTGCCTGGGTCATGTTTCTGATTTTGGAACGCAGGCCTTCCTTAGCAGGAGGGGCCTGGGTCTACATAGTAAGTATTGCTTATTCTCGGTTCCCTCCACTCTTTCTGGAGCTCAAGGCTTCATAATCTTGAGCCGTAATATGGGTGTGTTGCTCAACTTGGACCCCACCCAGCGTAGGAGAGAGAATACGGTTAATTTTCAAAGTGCCAAAATATCTTTGCATATATTGTTTTCTCTGCCTGGAATGGTCTCGCTTCTCCTGGTTAGTCCCTAGTCATCCTTTAAGAGGCTTTTTTTTGATCAAAGCCTTCTCCAGCCACCCTCAGTAAGTTCCATCACTCCTTTCTCCATGCACCCCCTCTATTTAAGCCCCTGCCATGTGTGGTCCAGGTGGCTCTGCTGGCTGTCCAGCTTTATCTCTGACCACCTCAGCCCCTGAGTTCTATGCCCCAGTCTTAGTGCATCCTCTTAGCTTCACAGGCACGCTATGCCTTCCCTTTCCTTTGAGCTTTTATAGCTAGTCCCTCTGTGTGTGACACTGGTCCCCTCCTCTGACCCCAATTTCCTTGACTCCCCAGCCCCAGTCAATTTCCTTGACTCCCCATCCTCAGGGCTCAGTTAAACATCCTTCTCCTGGTCAAAAGTCCCTGTGCTCCCAAGTCTGGGGTCCTCTTATGGGCTCTTGTGGCTCCTTCTCACAGACCCCATCACACTTTGTGTTTTATATCCATCTCCCCAGCTAGACTGTAGGTGTCTTGTGGGGAAGGGGCTGTGCATCTTTCTCCCTCTCGTATCCCTGAATCTAGCACAGGCCTGTAGTAGCTATTCATCATATTAAAAACTGAAATCGATTTTCATGTTTTCTCCCCTGAAGATGGCTAGCCCCTTATCTCTCTTATCATGGAGTCCAGTGGTTGACACAGTGCTGGGGGCTTCTCATCAGGGCCAACTTACAGCGTGAACTCCCAGGTCCTGTCACAGCCAGCTCTGAAGTTACTTTTTCCTGAACAATCAAATTTCTCTTTTTAGCATCAGAGGAGCAAGAAGCTGGAAGGAGTCCCAGAGCCCCAGCTCCTTTCAGAAGGCCTGAGCTCCTGTCCCCTCCCTGGTGGGTGGCCCTGCATGCCTTCCCTCCCTCTTCTCTTCCACTTAGGCCCACTCTCAACCCCCCACGCAGCCAAGCTGTTATTGGCAATGAACGTAACGTTTCTGGGCTTTTCTTCAGGCTGAGACTCACTCTGGTTTTGCTTAAGATCGTGAATCAGTTTTGTCCGTGCTTGGACCTGCCAATGTCCGTAAATGATCTTCTAAATCTGGTCATTGCAAACGTGACTCCATCCTCTTCATTTATCAATATGTTGAGCAACCAGGTCAATGGGAGTCGCCCCATGGATTCCAGGCCCATTTTATTAAAAATGTGGAACAATTTAAGTTCTTGCTGCTTCGACTGAAAGTTGTAGAGCACATGTTATTTCCAGCAGGCTCCAGGGCTGGAAGGTCAAGTTTCAGATGCGATTAATTCAGTGTAAAGGTGAGCCTGCCAGGCTTGGAAGAAGGAAGAACTGACAGCTGATTTATGATGTGGCTTTTAAGCAAATCACCCCTAAAACTCAGCTCATTTCATTATGGCAGAGGTTCAATTTGTAATAAAGTGTCATCCTTGGACACTGAGTCCTGCCCCTATAGTCAGCAGCTGGAAAAGAGAAATGGAATTTCAGCAGTTCCAGAAACCCTCTCCACGATGCTTGGCAAAAGAAATACCAGGGCCTTAAGGTCCCTCTCATATCTGCTTAATGACAAAATGTACCATGAGCTGCTGAGCATGTGTGCGACTGTACAAAAATAGCTCTGTGTGTCCCCATCCTTGGGGCCAAGGGTGACCACATATGCAGAAACACCTAGTCACAAACTGCCCTTTGCTTCTGTGGCCTGGAGTGCTTTCTGGAGGTGAATGAGATTAGGAGTAGGGACGGGTATGGAGATGATGAAGCTGCTCTATACTTTCGGGAAGTGACACTTGCCTGGAAATACTGATGTGACGGGGACCCTTTTTCTAACTAACATGCTTCAGTTTAGTGCGTGCCATGCAGGAGCTAGAAAGCACGTGGCAGTGCTGAGGAAGTGAGAGTGTGACTAAAGCCTTCTCTTAGGTTTCGGGGAGGGCCTGACATCCAGGTATTGTGGTGCTTAATGACAGACTCTGCTCTAAACATGAAATGGAACATTTCGCCACCATCCAGACACACTGGGGCCTAAAGTGGCCTTCTCACCCGTCTTCCCCGAGTATGGCAGTGTAGGGAGTGGCCCTCAGACGGAGACTCCGTTCACTTTCCTAGGTTTGGTCTTCCCATCCCTGTCCCAATAACAATGACTCAGTGGCAGAAAAAGTGGAGTCATTTCTGAATCCCAGACACACTGCTGCATGGGCTCCTTGTTAGTGGTCATCCAGGCAGTAGCTGGCGGACCGTGAGGGAGCCATCTGTATGGCTACAATGGAAGGGCGATGCTGAGAGCCAGGGCTCTGAAAAGCCATGGTGACAGGGGAAGAAAACCTCTCTGTGAGGGGTGTGTGCACATGTCCATGTAGGTTTTTGGCCAAATAATGCAGGGTAATGAATGCTCTTACACCCTGGGTTTCCAGGCTGTGCTCTGCTCTGCTTGGCTTGAGATAGACACATAAGTGAAGATTGCTCCTAGGAGGGACAGCACTTACTCCGGGTGTTTGCAGACAAAATGCCTATTAGCATCTGGAGCCCTGAGCCAGAGACGCCACCGTCTCTTGGCTGGGCCAGCGGCTTCCTGGACTGTGGAGCTGCGGCCCATAAAAGGAGAATTTATGAAGAAACAAGGAAACCTCTCTCTTTTCTGCAATGTTAAAAGAATATGTTTTCAACATGAAGTCTTCACTGCTGCTGTTTTCTGGTAAACCAATCAAACTTAGTAAATATCCCATAGTTCCATATACTACATACACACACACACACATATAATATATGATAGGATACAAATTTCGTATATACTATACAACTGTAGTATGCAAATATACTGCAGTTCCCCACTGAGTCTACCGTGGGGTCACCTGCCGCCCCGCCCCGACCGCCTCCAACAAGCTGTTTGTATATCTCATCCTGCACATATCACATAATGCCCAGGGCTTGGGGGCATTGACATTTGTCTATGTCCTCAGTATGATTTGATGAAGAGAGTTTGAGCTTTAGAGCCAGACAAGTTCAAATTTAAACCAAAATCCAACTTTTCAGTGGCCATGTAAGCTTGAGAAATCCAGTTAACTTTTCCTCGTCTGGCTTTCCTTCTCTGGAAGATAGAGCCACTGATTTCAGGGTGACAGTGAGGGATAAGTGGGGCAATGCATATACCGTAGTTCTGCTGCAGTGAGAGGCCTGGCAGAGGGTGGGCGGCAAACTCCATGTTAGTACCCATCTCTCTCTCCACCTCAACTGGACTCTCGTTCCTTAAAGGTAACATGGTATCATATGCATTCGTATATCTCTCTTGCTGCTCAACACACAATCCATTGCCTTGTATCTAGTAGGCACTCAAATAATAAAGGAACTCATTTTATTTTAACCTCAAAGTGGAGTAAGAAATGGACCAAAGGTCAGGTGAAAGGAATGTCTGATTGGGCTTCGACCCTACTCGAAGTGCGGGTCAAAGACCGGCAGTATCAGCACCACCAGAGAACTAATTAAAAATGCAGAATCTCAGGCCCCACCCGAGCTACTGAACCAGAATCTGCATTTTAACCAGATGGCCAGGTGATCCACGTGCATGTTGAAGTTTGAGAAGCCCTATTGTGTCAATAACCAGGTACTAAATAAATAAATGAAGGAGTAAGATTAGGAAGCCAGCAAAATAGCTTATTAGAACACCACTGGTTTTATTTAAAAGGAAAAATCTATTAAGTTGAAATATAATACTAAGAATTTCAAGACCAATGGCAGTTGTACTCTAGTTCTAACAGACGCTGTTCTTGGCTATGATTCTGCAGCTGCAGACACGGACTCCCTGACTTATGTTTCCCTCTCCCTCTCTGAGCCGCTGTCAACTCTTCCACTGTGCTATGCTCTGCAGAAGGCCATCTCCACTCCCCAGGTCTGGGAGCTACTTGGGTCTCCCCGAATAACCTGTGTCCCAGGACGCTCTGTTACCGCAGCTGCTTGCAGTCCCCTCTGGGGATCTTGCTCTGCTTTCCACAGAATGGGTATTGTTCTTGTTTGGATCACTGCCCTAAATTCAAGTTCATTCAAAAGCGCCTTTGAGAACTTGGCTCTCTCTTGCATCTGCCTTTCAGAGTTGTATGTACCTGGAGCGCAGCCTGGGGACCACTGCTTCCAGGAAGATGAAGCATCCCTTTGCATCTTTCTGTCTTCCTTATGGATAGGGGTGCGTAGTCTTTTCTGCCCTCTTCCTTTGGGTTTATGCTTGGCAGATCATCTGATCAAGTCATATGCTTGAGCTCTAAACTCTGTGGCTGCCTATAAAACCTGTTTTCCAATGGTGGTAGAAACAAAGTTATAAACACCTGTGGATTTTATCTCTAAAATATCTCCCAAATGCCCCTGCTCTCTGCCATGAGCACCACCGCCTCTCTGGGCCACTGCGCTCTCCTGCCTGGATGACAGCAGTACCCTCCTCAGTACATCCCTGCAAGCTGTTCTCCCCACAGTGAGCCAGAGATCTTTTCTTAAACATAAATTGAAGTGTCATTTTCCTGGAAACCCCCCCCCCCCCAATATCTCTGCACTGCCCTTAGAATGAGATCCAAACTTTTTCTGGTGACCTCCAGAGGCTGCTGTGACCAGGCCAGCCTGGCTCTGGGGCCCTGCCACCTTTTCCCTGACTATCGTGCTCCTTTTCCAGAAGGATTTGCTGCTCTTCCAGCCTCTCACACTCACCCAACTCTTTCCTGCCTCACCTGAGACATTCCCTCCACAGACAGGACTTCCTGTCACCCAATTGTCACTCCTAGCTCCTTTCTTCATTCAGCCTCTTTGCTAGCTTTTTATTTATTTAGCCTGGCACATACTAGGTATTCAATACACACCTGCTGGATTGAATCCATAAACCTATTGGATGCTAAGTGTTTTCTCCTGAAATTCATTTTCCTGTCTCTATCCGTATTGATGTTCTTCACTCCTCTAGGTGCCCTCCATCAGGCAGATGGAATTCCTTCATGAGGACTTCCTAACCCACTCTAGTCTGGAATTGTCTTCTGTCTTAGGATCTGTTGTCATCCTATTCACCAACAAAACTCTTACCTCACTGAAATAGCTTCTCACTCCTCCCCTGCACACCCACACTCACATGTACACACACCTGTTCTTTCTGTGTTGGCGGGATGTTATTCATAGGGCATGGTAAGGAACAGTGGTTAAGTATCTGGGCTCTGGAGCCAAACTGCTTGGGTTCAAATCTTGGCTCTGTCAATTACTTGTGGGGCAGGTGATTTAACCTCTCTTTGCCTCGGTTTTCTCATCTGTAAAGCAGGGGCAATGCTAGAACCTTCCTCACATGGTTGCTGTGAAAATTAAATGGATCAAAACGTATCAAATATATAGAACCGTGCTGGGCACGTATTGAGCAGTATAGAAGTAGTAGGTATTATGGTCATTTGAATGAGGAAGAAATGATTTTGCACTGTGAGATTCTCATGAACTGGGTTTTCAATCTAGATTTCTCCTAGACTGAAGGTCTATCCACCTTCACTATGTCTGCTAAGGGATTCCTCTGGGTCACATTTCTCCTGGCATCTCTTAGGGCTTAGTCTGGTTGAAAGAGAAAGGGGAGTTTAGGCATGAGCAAAAACATATGTTCATTTAGCAACTTCAGTTGCTCTACTGACCCCTGACTGCCAGCTGGACACAGGAGGCCAGGACTGGCTGGGCTCCCAAGATGGGCTGACAGGCAGAGGGGACCATCGAGCAAGTGATGTTGTGAAAGTGGCTGCCCTCACATCCCCTTCATTCTCAGTGGCGGCGGGGATCCTGGCCTTCCCCTTCTATCCGTTCTGCAGCCTGCTGAAGTCTTCATGGCCTTGCTCTTTTTTTGGGATTAAGTCTTTTGGGATTTGTCTTAGTTAAGTTGCACCTCTTTTGATCTCTCCACCACAGTTTTCTGTCCCTCCCCTCCCACTCTAACAGCTGAAATGTCTCAGCCTCTGGAGCTGACTCCTGGTGCCTCCTGTTTCCTAGCCCTCCCTGAGAGTCAGCAAGGGCACAGGTTAAATACATGGTTTACCAGGCCTTTCTCCTGGAAATTCTGATTCTGGAGGCCTGGATCAAAGTCTAAAGGGAATCCGCACCTTCAACAAGCGCTCCTGGTGACTCTTATCTTCAGCGAAGCTTGGAAGTCACTGCCCAGGGCTTGCTCATGTTTTCATTCTCCACAAAATCTCATGGTTTCCTCCAGCCCAGTATGCATCTCATGCTTTTGACAGCAGACAGATCTTGTTTTGTTACCCTGTGTTGCTATCTAACTCTCAACAATCTATACCTTTTCTCTTCAAACAATAGAAACTTCTAAAGAGTGGGCATCAAGGTTTTTTGTTTCTTACATAGTAGGGCCTCAATAAATATTTGGTTGAAATTTTACTTTTTCTTCTCATTATATTCATTTGGGGTGAATACTGGAATTGTTTTACGTATCATCAAAAGGGCATGAAGGAAAGGGCTTGGAAATGTGTTAGGTAGGCTAGGTGCAGTGGCTCATGCCTGTGATCTCAACACTTTGGGTGGCTAAGGTGGGTGGGTCGCTGGAGCCCAGGAGTTCAAGACCAGCCTTGGCAACATGGTGAAACCTGGTCTCTACCAAAAATACGGAACTTAGCAATTCTTATAACCCAGTCTCAAAATAAATAAATAAACAATCGATCAAAATTTAAAAATAAAATAAACAATTTTTAAAAAGAGATAGGTAAAAGAGGCATGTTACTTTGTGATTACACAGGCCTTACATATTCAGGGTTTGATTAAGTAAGTTCAATGAAAACATCTCTGGTGACTGGAATAACTCGCTGCTGTCTAAAAGTGAGTCATGGATAGAGCAGCATGGATGTGTTACTCGAAGAACTTCTCCCCACCACGAATTGTATGTGTGACCTTTTTTTTTTTTTTTTTTTTAGATGGAGTTTCGCTCTTGTGACCCAGGCTGTAGTGCAATGGTGCTATCTCGGCTCACCGCAACCTCCGCCTCCTGGGTTCAGGCAATTCTCCTGCCTCTCAGCCTCCCGAGTAGCTGGGATTACAGGCACGCACCACCATGCCCAGCTAATTTTTTGTATCTTTAGTAGAGACGGGGTTTCACCATGTTGACCAGGATGGTCTCGATCTCTTGACCTCGTGATCCACCCGCCTCGGCCTCCCAGAGTGCTGGGATTACAGGCTTGAGCCACCGTGCCCGGCCTATATATGTGATCTTAAGTGAGATGTGTCTGCAAAGTAAGCGTCAACTTCCTTATTCAAAAAAGGTTAAATTCTGACCTCACAGGGTGCATGAAGTCAAATGAGATACTGTGTGCAGAATCATTTTGCAATTTGTAAAGTGCTGTACAGAGGGTGGGAATTACTCTTAGTCATCCTTACAGTTAGTTTTCCAGCTCACCTGCCTGTCTGCATTCCGTCACAGCGTTCCTGAGTCATGTGACTACATGTAAAGGCTGTGCTAGGGAGCCTAGGAAATCTGCTTCCCGACAAGAGCTGTGAAACCTCACATCCTAATTGACAGAGACAAGGAGCAACGGTGATTCACAGGCAGCTCCAGGAGAGCAGCCAGCTCAGGCCTGAAAACGTCTCTTTGGATGGGTCTGCTGGGGAACGGGAACAGATCCCTTCTAAGCTTTGGTTTGCCTCAGAGAGGAATTTAGGAGCTGGACTATGATTGGAGAAATGGTTAACGTCCACAAACATATACAAGGTTTTCAGATGGCAATGCTTAAAATCTCAACAACAATAAAAAATCATAGCTGCATTACAGCAAAAGGGGGTTGCTGTCCTCTAAGTGAACCCTCAGAGAGTCACTTTTCTGAGCTTGATAAGAATATATTACAAGACGCAGTTTTCAGAGTTCTGTAAGCTTTGGCAGGGATGGGCTGGTACGGGTGAGAAGAAAGCAACAGATTTAAAAAATCTGTATAAACACCGATAGAAATAAACTTGCTGCTTGCTGCAGCGTACCCATGTCGTTAGAGATTTTGCCCTTAACATCTCTCTTTTAAATCTGACTCCAGGAAATAGATTTGGAACCTGATCAATCCCATCCTTGACTCTGCCATCCTTCTCCCAGAATTATAAACATAAGATTATTACAGCGCATTTCCTGCATGTGCCTTCCATGTGGCTCCAGTCTCCACCTCACAAGTGCAGCGAGTAAACGCTCCCCAAGTGTAATTCTGAAGTGCGGCCCATCTGGTGCGGACTTGATGGGGAGGGCTGGGGACAGACACTGCATACTGCCAGAGGTTGTGCCTGAGGGAGGAAAAAGGTCTCCCAGTGGCAGGGGATGCATCCTTCCTTCATTTCTTGGCATGTTTGGTTGGTATGTGGGAGCTACAATGGAAGGTTGAAAACGTTTTCTTTTCTTTCTTTCTTTCCACAGATCCATTTCAATCCATCCCATTCCTGGAAAAACCACAGTCCCCCAGCAGTCTCTAAGCCCTTCACTTTTGAAAAGCACACAGCTTCCCTGCTACCCCTTGCTTCTGTGGGTCCGGCTGGAACGGTAATTAATTTTCGTGTAAATGAGTTTAGGGCTGAGGCTTTCATTAATGTGTTAAGGCTCCAGGGTCCTGTGGTTTGACACCATTTGAGTGCACAAACTGTTAGCTTTATAAATTTTCAACAGTTTTCTTTCCTCTCCTGAATCTCATATGAAACTCATTTCCCAAGGAACTGACCAAGGTCCTTTGACCTCTTGCCTCAATTGCTTAAAGGCCTCCAGTTCTTTTTCTTGGTCTTTTACTCTTGATATTAAAAGGTGAATTGAACTTCAAAGGGCAGTAAGCCAGATGCCTTCTTTCCCCCGTGAGGGGCTGGCTTCCTCTCACGCGGGGAAATGCTTTGTCGGCACTCTATGAATTCAGGTTGGTGTCCATTTCCCCTGGGCCTCAAGTAGTTTCTCCCGCTATACCCAGATGCTTGGGTTCAGGGCTCTAATTTGTGTGATTTGCTGGTCCTGATGCTGATATTTGACAAAGTTCCTTGGTTTGTGCTGGTCTGGTATGAACATGTGCATATGTGTGTGCACACAGCATGTGCATGTGTGGGTATGTGTGCACAGGCGCACGTGTATCCATGTGGGAATGTGCGATGTCCTCTGTCAGCACCAGCGGCACACACGAGACCTGCGCTGTCCGGTACCCGTAGCTATTAAACACTTGAAAAGTGGCTGGTCCTTGTTGAGATGTGCTGTGAATACAAAACACACACCAGATTTTAAAGACTTAGTATGAAAATTATAACTGTCATACAACTCAAGAGGTTTTTACATTGATTACATGTTAAGGTGATTGTATTTTGGATGTATCGGGTTAAACAAAATATATTATCAATATTAATTTCACTTCTTTCACTTTTGAAAATGCAGTTACTGGAGAATGTGAAATCACACATATGGCCTGTATTATATTTGCACTGGACAGTGTTGATCTAGATTGCCAGTTGAGGGCCTGAGTCATGTTGTTGCTGAATCACAGCTTCCACCTCAATTTCTCTGGTGTCCTCCAACCCTCAAGTTATGCAGCATGTGAATGGCTGAGCTTCCATGAATCATGCTTTGTAACTTGGAGCTGCAGAGGACACTCTGTATGTGTCTTTATGATCCCACCTCCTGTTTCCTCTGGCGTCCCTCCACCCTGACCAGGCTGGTCTCCTGTGTATGTGCTCATGTACAGCAGGAAAGACTAGTGCCCCTGGGTCTGGGGGCCAGAAGGAGGCTGCTGGTGACTCACACCTTCTTGGTGGCCCACACTATACCATAGGTGTTGATATGGTTTGGCTGTGTCCCCACCCAAGTCTCATCTTGAATTGCAGTTCCTGTAATCCCCATGTGTTATGCGAGGGACCCAGTGGGAGGTAATTGAATCATGGGGGTGGTTTCCCCCATGCTGTTCTTGTGATAGTGAGTGAGTTCTCACAAGATCTGATGGTTTTGTAAGTATCCGGTATTTCCCCTGCTGGCATTTATTCTCTCTCTCGCCGCTGTGAAGAGGTGCCTTCTACCATGATTGTAAATTTCCTGAGACCTCCCTAGCCATCTGGAACTGTGAATCAATTAAACCTCTTTTCTTATAAATTACCTTGGGCATTTCTTCATAGCAGTGTGAGAATGGACTAATGCAGGTGTACTTGTCCTGCACAGTACCCATTCACTTCTTACAATGTCTGGGCTGGACCATTTCTCTTTGATATTAACATACTTAGGATGCGGCTTAAAGGCTTTAAAGATTATCTAGTCTTATCTTTTCATTTTACAAAAGAGGGCACTAAGACCCAGGAGTACAGTGCTAGAGGGAGACGATTATAAGCTTAGACTTTGACAGAGGCAGCTTCAAGTTCAAATCCTAGCCGTGCTACTTCTTTGCCAGTCTCCAGCACAGCACTCCCCAGTCTGTACTGAAATGATCTGCTCAATGATCTGCGTCCCTCTGAGTACTGTGGGCTCCTTGAGGACTAGGTCTGTCTCGTACACATTATCATAGCTCTTTGGTTTTTTCAATTGTGTATTAAAGATTGGTCATATGCCAAGCCTGTTGTAGACCTTTGGGATGCATCCAGGAGAAAAACAGAGAAAGCTATTGCCTATGTGCAGCTTATAATCTAGCTGTGGGAGGTGGATACCACGTGGGAAGGTTGTGTGGGTTTCAGTTTATGCACAGTCGAGATCCACACATTTACCTTGTCCTGTGGGAGCAGCCCTGGCCACAGCTTGCTGCTGGTGCCTCCTCTACCCACTGCTGCCACCCTGCAGGCTCAGGGGCCACTGCGAGGATTGCCCCATCCCTCCTGTTGCTCACATGCAGGGCCTCTATCTCCTTACTGGCTGCCTGAGCTGCTTATCTCTCCACTCTCACCTTCTGCCCTGGGGCTTCCTCACTGACTCTTAGGTAAAGGACCATGTACAGCCCTTGTTCTCATCACCTGGAAGTATGAGAAAACCGACACCCACAGGGCAAAGTTTGACCAATGGAAGTCAGATACTGAAGACACATTTTCTCTCTTTCACTGTCCCTAGGCAGACGGTGGAGACACATTAGCTTCATGCCCCTTTCTGAATATGTCCCCTGGGACCCAGCCAGTAGCTTGTTACAGGGCTGTGGTCAATTTGGAAACCTATGTTTGCTCTTCCTTTTTCCCTCCCTACTCCTCTGTTCCCTCCTTTCTGCTTCCCTGGAATTCAACCTCTTGAGCTGTGTACTCTAGAGACCCTGTCCAAGGCAGCAGGTGCTAAGTGCGATGGAAAAAGCAAACCCAGAGCAGGCAGGCTCAGAACAGGGATAAGGAGTGCGTGGAGGGGCTGCGGTTTTCAACAGCACTATCAGTTTAAGTCTTGCTGAAAAGGTGATATTTGAGCAACAACCTGAAGAAGCTGGGGGAGTTAGCCACTCCGGGGAAAAGGTGTTCCTTCCAGGGGGAGTTAGCCACTCTGGGGAAAAGGTGTTCCTTCCAGGGGGAGTTAGCCACTCCGGGGAAAAGGTGTTCCTTCCAGTGCAAGGGCTCCAAGGTATGACTGCGGGAGAGCAGAGACAGGGTTTTGTAGAAGATGAGCTTAGGGAGGTGAGAGAGGGGGTTATCTTATGTCTTTTAGGCCATTGTAAGGGTGAAATTGGAGCCTGGGTGGAGTTTTAAGCAGCTCTGAGACTTGGCATCTAGCAAGTGCAGTATGCCTGGCACATAGAAGGCACTCATTCAGAGTTGTTGATTTGAAAGAAGGCATGCCGTTGATCTTCCACAGATGTCCCGCCACCCCCTTCTTCAGAGCAGCACTTTGCAGAGGAGCCCCTCACCCTGCAGAGGGGTAGAGCTGGACTTGTACATTTCTAGCCAAGAGTTGAAAACAGATGGAAACAAAAATGCCAGCATTAATCCAAAAGGCATGTGGAAGAAAGATCAAATGGGAGAAGAGGATGAATATGTTTTCAGCAGAGCTGTGTGCTTCCTACAGAACTGGACTGTGGGAAGCCAGTTGAGCCAGTCTGTGCCTCGTGGCGGAAAATGGATTTTGCCTGGAGACTTAAGATGGGAAATTAGGGGTGGGCTCCCTGCTAAGAGCCAGACAAGTTCTGTGAGCTTTGAGTTGTTGGGAATGCACACAACCAAGTTTGCCATATTTGCTTCTGTAAAACCTCCCTGGCAGAGTCCTTTCAGGTGTGAATTCTGTGAATCACATGCTTTTAAGGTCCTTGGTGCAGTGGCTGGCTTTTTTTTCCTGTCACAAGGACCAGCCGAGAGCAGGAGGAATGTCAGGGATAAGAACCCACAACATAATCCTTATTTTCCCTAGGGGCTTCTCTTCTCCTTGGCCCCTTTCTTTCATACCTACCTTTAAAAGATTATAAGTGTAACAGGAGAAGGAGTCTGCGGTGGTGGCTGGGAACTCTTGGAGCAGAGGTGAGGGAACAGGAGAGTAGAAACATCCCAAATATTTTCCCTAGTAAGGGGGGATATTTGCTTCCAAAAAGCAGAAATCAGGGGAAGTGTGATTATATGAATCCTTTTATTCCGGGAGCAGTGGCTTGGGCAGAGGGAGGGATTTATAGGCCAGCAGTTTTTAGAGACTGAATTTGACACGATATTGATTATTTGTTTTAAGGAAATCCCGAGACTTGTACTTAAGCCAAGGGAAACAATTGGGCTCTTTTTCAAAAGTCTTGCAAGTTCATCTTCCTGACGATCTTATTTTGATGCACAGCTGCCCCTCGGTTATGTTGTTAGAAGGACAGACAAAGCTCAAGGATTTTCAGGTGTTTTCCAAACAAGATCACATCAATCTTTGATTCAGTATGCAGTGGGGGAAGTGACTGAGATTTGTTAGGGTAAATAAACATTGTGTTTCTGAGGAAGGTCCAAGGATCTCACAAGTGAGAGCAGCCGGTTAGGCAAGAGTAAGTCTCAAGCATTTTATTTTATTTTATTTTATTGCATTTTAGGTTTTGGGGTACATGTGCAGTACATGCAAAATAGTTGCATAGGTACACACATGGCAGTGTGTTTTGCTGCCTTCCTGCCCTTCACCCACATTTGGCATTTCTCCCCAGGATCCCTCCCAAGCTCCCCGCCCCGCTGTCCCTCCCCATTCCCCCAAAGAGATCCCGATGTGTAGTACTCCCTTCCGTGTGTCCATGTGCTCTCATTTTTCCTCACCTACCTATGAGTGAGAATATGTGGTATTTCATTTTCTGTTCTTGTGTCAGTTTGCTGAGAATGATGTTCTCCAGTTTCATCCATGTCCTTACAAAGGACACGAACTCATCGTTTTTGATTGCTGCATAATATTCCATGGTGTATATGTGCCACATTTTCCCAGTCCAATCTATCATCGATGGGCATTTGGGTTGGTTCCAGGTCTTTGCTATTGTAAACAGTGCTGCAATGAACATTCGTGTGCATGTGTCCTTATAGAGAATGATTTATAGTCCTTTGGATATATACCCAGTAATGGGATTGCTGGGTCAAATGGAATTTCTATTTCTAAGGCCTTGAGGAATCGCCACACTGTCTTCC